AGTCAAAGGCGTTGATAAACACGCTGAAAAGCGATTATGCGTGTTGATAGCACGCCAAAAATGGAAATACAAATTGGCGTGCCATACATACGCCATTTCATGAGATCAGTCTGAGACGGTAATGTTTTGTGTAATTTTTCGTTTCAAGTCACCATTACGGCCAATTATGAAATAACTTTACAGAAAACAATAGTGTTGTTATTCAGCTCAATTCAGTCAAATTGATAATATTTATTATTGAGACTTTTTTTAACCCCAGCTAAGCAAACCACAGGTGACATTGGCAAGGAACCCAAACTCGGAATAGAAAATAGAGATAAAAGAGAAACCAGGCTTAGTCTTTCTTATCATTTGTCTGGTGCTATAATATCTGGAAAAAAGCCATACCAATTCATCTCAATGGCAGCTTGCATTGAAAGTAGGCACTTCACGGATTGAGCAATATCTTCAGAATAAATAAGTTGTAAATGCCATGTGACTGCTAACATTATCAGAACTCCTGTCAGCAGTCAGAGAAAAAACAAAAGTCTCATCAAGAGCCCTCGAATACGATCAGTCTCTGGAGAAAGATCCACTGTTATATGATGGTTGCAACCCAGGCTCCTTGGAAAACCTTGCCAATTCACTGCAGTTTCCAGCTGAAATGAACACTAGATGCAATGAAACGCCAACAATTTTATTCCTTTTCTCACAAATTATAATTACAGGAGCAGATTATCGATTGATAAAGACTTTTTTTTGCTTCCTTGCACAATACCCACTAGGTTTATGTTTAACGTAAAATACTGCCAGATTCACGTCCATCTGTGTGAATGCGATTTTAGTGCCACCCACTGGAAAGTGTCGCGAAATGTGCAAGAAGCATATAATTTTTGCAGGAATGTTGCAAAAGACATGTTTTTGCTATAGTTGGAATCATTGGGTTGGATTCTTTTTTTTTAAATAAATGGCTAATTTTAAGGCCGCTGTAGAGGATGGTATAATTACACAGATAGCAAGCTACCATCGAAACAATGTTAAATCAATGTTAATGTGTCAACGTTAACTGTGTGAATCAACATTACGTTTGCACCCCCAATTAATGTTAAAATGTTGAAATTTCATCCAAAAATCAATGGTAATGGCATTGAATAAATGTGATGTTAGTTCAACATCATGCTTGCACTCTCAGAGAATGAAACAACTATAACAGCCTGGAATCAACTGCAAATAAAAGAAGACAATACATCTCTCAAGATCTCAGCAGAAGGTATTTTTGAGAATGAACAGAGGTTTAGATGTTGATGGTTTATTGAACATGTTTGGTCACCATTATGGTGATCAGTGTTCCATTTCGTAGTTTGACCCTTGTCTTTTTATGTGAGTTTGTGGTCTTTATAGCACTGTTTTCCAAAACACATAATTTATTGCAAAGAAAGCCAGAAAAAAAGATAATAAGATGATAGTTTCAGCATCATAAAGTAGAATAAATCACTAATCTTATCCCTGACCAAAAGTGGTCGTTTGTTATTAATATAAAATATACACCAACAATACTGTTTTTGCCAGACGCTCCACTACTGCACTCCACCAAAAAAATAGAGGAGAGCGCAAACACATTCACCCATTGCCAAACATAATGCAATCAAGATTCCCACATTTGGAAATATATATCGGAATTGCCCCAACTGGAATGACATATACAAGGAAAATGCCTGTTATGTAATTTTGCAGATAAAAATTGTTTGCACACTTAACATTATTTTTAAAAATCATAGTAAATGCACCTGCAAATGTGTGCAAACAGTTTTACTGTTCATTAAGTGGGTTATGTCACCACGTTTACACTGTGTACACAGAGCTTAACAGAGCACACACAGTGAATGAATAGCATGCTAACAAGCCCCAGACTTCTAACGTTTCCAAAAGTCAAGGTTGTTTCATAACTAATTTCACGTCCACCTCGTAAAATTCATTTCAACTCCCCTCGCACCATCTTACCATGTGACCTCTCCAATGTCTTTGTGCAGCCCATCACAATAATGAACCCAAAGGTCCTGAAGCGGCTCAACTCAAAGATAAGGATGCGCTGCAGATAAGCACATTATCCAAATTGGACACACCCATGGAAATCTTATAAGATTGTCTGGAGATAATCCATATCATCTCTGATCTGTAAACGGGATAAGATATCAAAATCATCACATATAAATGATAACAGACCAGAAGATTGGATTGAAATTCCTATAAACCTGTGATAAGTGTGCAGTAGCCCACGATCCCTTATGTAACAAAAGTATATGGGAATATACTGCAAAATATAATATATTGCATAAAACATTTCCATATATGGGAAACTAGTGCTTACATTTTTCAATGTACTGCAATATATGAATTGACCATGTATGGCTATATATTAATACATATAAAATATATAAAAATGAAGACATAAATAGCATTACATGTAAAATTCACAAATTGTATCCTTTTTTGTGTACATATATTGCACATACATGTTCCCATATAAATGTGAATGTATGTTCACACAGATATATACAGATTTCTATTTCCCAGCATGCTTTGCTTCTGACTGTTAAAGGGGAGCAAATGTTAAAATTAAGAGTTATTTGATGTGTTTTGCTCAATATTAATATAGGGGGAGACCTGTTAGTGTTTAATTTTCTATTATTTTGGAATGTAAACGGTTTTCTGGTGTGTGTAATTTTTGTGGTAACTAATGTGCTGAAGAGGCTGTGGTTCGGTTGTCAAATGGCCATAAACCATTAAAATATAAATACTATATTTTAAAAAATAGCTTAATAACAAAATAAACGTTACAAAACCACTGCGACCAGAGAACAGAGAGCAGAGAACAGATTGAGCATCACCAAACATACATCCAACAAAGGACAACACCAGACAAAGAACGTGAGAAACACTTGGGTATAAATACACTCAAGGGGAGATTGGCAAACAAGACACACCTGGAAACAATCAGGAACTAATCAATAAGAAAAACTACAAAGGACTACAAAACTTGGCACAGAACAGGAAATAACATAAAAGTCCACACAAGACAAGGGGAAGTCAGAGCCCATCTACAGAGAGCCTGGCCACTCCCTATTAAGTCCTATTGTACCGAATTTTGGTTGTAGTTCCACCAGAGTTCCACTGGGGGAGATCGTCCGAGTGCAAAATGAATGGGAGTCTATGGAGCTAGACGGCTAAATTTGTCTCTTTCACCTGATTGGCGTTGAGAAATCTCAAATTTGATTGTAGGTTTTGCAAGTTCAACATGGGTTATAGGTTGAAAGTTGAATAAACGAGTACTTATGTCCTTTCGATTTCTTACAGGTTGAGTTGTTGTTGCCCATAACACGTTAGCATTCTGCTAATGAACGCTGGTTGGTCAGTGAAGGACTGATTACGACCAGAGATACCGCTTGATGGCATCGAAGCGGGACCAGAATGTTAAGAACTTTAGTTTAACAAAAACTCTTCTAGCACGTGTATTTACCTGTGTCAGCTGTCTCGAGAGAAAAGAAAGTGCAGAGCGCGAAAGCACCAAAGTGACTGAAGGATTGCCGTTAAGCAGTATCTCTGGCAGTATCTCTGACATTTTAAAAGACCTTTTAAAGCAAATAAGTGACTCTAAAAAATCTAACACCCAACAATGTGTAATTTCTTTGCAGCTCGTTTCGAATACAGCATTCAAATTACTAGACAAAAATTATGTCCTGAGAAAAGTGGATTTTGAGGGGTATATCTCCATAGACCTCCATTCATTCTGCAATCGCCCTGTGAGCGCCCTCATATGGAACCAGAGTGGAACTGCAACCAGTTCAGAAGCCGGCAGTTTACTGAGAGTTGAAGTTCTCCCCTTATTAGACATTCTCTGGGGTAGTCTTGCACATTTTAGAGTGGCCTTTTATTGTGGCCAGCCTAAGGCACACCTGTGCAATAATCATACTCAGCATCTTGGTATGCCACACCTGTGAGGTGGATGGATTATCTCGCCAAAGGAGAATTGCTCACTAACACAGATTTAGACAGATTTAAGATAAGATTTTTAAACTATTTGAGTGAAATAGGCCTTTAGAAAAAGTCTTAGATCTTTGAGTTCAGCTCATGAAAAATAAGGGCAAAAACAAAAGTGTTGCGTTTATAATTTGGTTCAGTGTATATCTGCAATATATTACACATGCAGCACCATATCTGATCACATATGCATCTATATATTATAAAGTGTATTACTGAATATAAAATTACATACATTATTAGTAATATATTAATACAATATATTATTCTGTATATTTATAAATGTACTGTTAAACCATTTAATATATTGATTGTTCATTTATAGGGAAATATATTTTCTTTTCATAAGGGATGGCTTGATGATTTTAAAATGTCAACAGTGATTACTTCTCAAGCCAAGTCATTTTATCTGTATATTCGCTGTCCGTGTCGATTCAAAACAGAAAATCATTGTCTTAAAGCAACTCATTTGTCAAGGGGGGGAAAAAACTGGAAGGAAAAACCTTAATAAGCATCTGTCCATAAACTCAGTAATGCCTAAATATTATCTAGTTAGCTAGTCCGTAGTCCATTTAATACAATTGCATGTTAAATCAATAAAATAAGTTGATTCTCCTTTCTAAATTTTTAACATTAACAAAATATTGTGCAAACTGTCAATGAAGAGGTAGAGATAATGATGCAACAATTGTACAATTGCAAAAATGTAAAGTCGTTAAACCAGTCCAGACTGTCAGATTAAAAGTGGATCTGTGGATCCTTTGATAAAAGAAAGTATGACTCATTTTAAGGGTTATTGCCTTCATGACGCAAGCTAGAAATTATTTTAAAAAGAAATGAGAGTTGTCTTTTATAGAGTGAAGAAAAATGGACTAGTTGTGTATTTGAAGGTCGTATAAACAACATGTGTTGTAAAAGAGTAAAGTGAGCTACCCAATGAGATAATTTCTGGGAATGTCTGTGTTTGCCAATGAGGCATTCAGAGATTGCAGAACCAATTTAATGCTCGTTTTCCAAGAACTTCGACTGACCTGAGGGTCAAAGGTGGCTTAGAAAGTTTGAGACTCCTATAAGAAGGCCTTTATTCTGTCTGGGAGTGGATTTTGACACTTGTCGGCACAAGGAAGAGTTAAGTAAGTAAGTATGTTTTCATTTTGTTGTTTCCGGTCTCCGGTAACTTAAGCCTGCTTTGAGCTAAAATGACAAATGAGTGTTTTAAAGTTTGTAGAAATGAAGACACGTTACTATTAATGCCATTACATCATTGGATGAGAGAACGCTCTCAAAGCAGCTGTTTAATATTAATGACCCAATATATACTTTTCAATGCTTTCGAAGAAAATCTGTAGTTGGTTGGTTTGGTCAGCAAAGTTAAGAATGAAATTGATTGAATACTTATTGATATGGATCACCCATCCATTTTATTGGTCAGTGTTTTTTTGTTTTTTTACTATTGTGCTTTTTATTTTATTGTAAAAAGCACATTGGTCAACCTGGGTTGTATTTAATGGTGCTGTTTGATCAAAATTGCCATTGCCAATTGCTTTCCAATGCAAGTGAAGAGTCCAGTGTTGATCAATATTGGAGTCAGCCAATGGGTCGTCATCCCTACATAACCCGTTCTGTCCTCAAACTTTTCTTTAATGCTAACAAACACACACACAAAACAGTTATGGAGTAAAGCCTGTGATTTAGGGTACATTTACACGACAACGATGTACTAAAAATGAAAAGAAAAAAAAATCCTTTCACGTACAGCTTTGTGACAGTGTTGTCAAAATTATCATGATTTTAACTGTAAAAATGCTATGGTTAAAATGTTATTTGGTTAACAGAAAGTTTCTGTACTATATACGGTGATTAACTGTGATAGACCTAACTGTACATTTAATGTAATTGTACAGAAAAATACCATTTTTGGAAGTGAAAAAGACCAAGTCATTGGATAATTTACAGTGAAAAACCGTAAATTGACATTCCCACAATTCCACTTCACATTTGATGTATTTAGTTTTTTTCTAATCAGTTATGTACAGTATGGTTTTATGTTAAATTACAATAATGTTGTTAAATTAATGTTTATCGCATTTAAAAAATGTCATGTGTGTTACCATGATGGTGTTTAGTGTTTGTGTGAATGACAGCTTAATTTTTTGCTTGTGATGAGTTTTGATTGATCATGTGACTCTCATCACAGCCGTGATTGGTGGTTGTCAGTATATTACAATAGTACAAAACAGATTTTAGTGCTTTAACAGGTGGGTAAATTAACATTATATCACATAGTGAAACATGTTCATTACTGTAAATTTAAGTTAAGGCTGAAAAACTTTTGCTATTTTATATATTAAATTTCTTTTTTTCTACAAGTACACTGCTGTTTTTTTACCGTAAATTTAAAAGAATTTTTGTTATAATGCGTTCACACGGATCAGTGAAACCGGCTAAAAACGCTGTATTATTCATGTCAGGCCAGTAGATGGCGATGTCACTTTATAAAGCAGGGGAAGTTAGGCTGAATCCGAAATCGCCCCCTAAACCCTCATTCACTATTCCCTACGTTAGTCCACTAATACTGTCCACTTTAAGGAGTGAATGAAAACGAGTTAGTGAATTTGGACAGCCGTTGAGCGTACATCGGTTGTACACTCGTTATTGCAGTGCAATGTGGGATTGAATGAGTGCACTCGATAACGCCCACTATGGTTTCGGACACCTCTACAAATGGATGTCCCCTCAAATAACGCCCTATAGGGGACGATTTGGGATTCAGCCCAAGTGTCCTGCAGACTGATACTTGTGCACTTGATAACGTCCACTATGGTTTCGGTTCCAACCCAGCACACTTGCCTGTAATTATCAAGTAACCTGAACAGCTTGATTAGCTGGTCTAGGTGTGTTTAATTGTAGTTAGAAGTCCCTGTTGTACTACTGTACTAGTGCGTACATTGTCTTTCTTTACAACAGGGAGCTCCAACTCAACAGGTAATTAAATTAAATTGATTCACTTTATTGTCCCCAGAGGGGAATTCTTTTCCACAGGACTGCACTTGTTTAACACACACAACATAACCAATATAATACAAAATACATAATGCGGAGAAAAAAATTAAATAATAATTAATGACAGCATTCATGTAAAACACACGCACATAAGGTCACTGTTTTCACAAATTCACGTTTTTGTAGTTTACACACTGAGACGGTAATGGTATATTTTCCAAAAACGTTCACCTTGATACCCGTTCTCAAAGGTTTGTGTTTTCAGGCTCCCAAAACGGCATTGTCGTGTAAATGAACAGCTACAGCACATATAAAGTTTTCTGTTTTTAGTTGAAACCGGTGTCTTGTAAATGACACCCTGTACCCAGCAGGCACAGTACGTCAATGTGACGCCAGGAAGATGTTGGACTCCAACTAATCCAACGTCAGTCAGAAGTCATATTTTGGTTGAAAATGAAAGTCAGGTTTATTTATTTATTGTTTATTTGAATAGGGACAGATACAAAAGAACATAGATTATTACATAAAGAACAATCCGATGCCTGTATCACAGTGTTTATAGCCAAGGCTAATTCAGGTTGACGTCTAAACCCAACGTTTGTTTGGTGTCAAGCTCCAACGTCAGACAGATGTTGAATTTTGATTGGAATAAGCACCGCAAAAAAATGTGACATGCATGGCAGCACATTAAATCTGTGAAGATCCCAGCAGAGGAGTAAACAACTCAAACAGCATTTCCAGCTTCACTTATTACTAACCAGATTTACTTTATTTAATTTCCGGTTTAATGAAATCAATAGTATATAAAATATAGTATTTTAAGTCAACATGATGGTGGTTAACGTTTGCTTTAGTTGCTGTTGGACTCTTGACCCTTAACTTTATAGTATAACATTTTCTCTGGCTGCTATAATTGTGTTTATAAAGCATAAATGTTGTTGCTAAAAAAGCCATGAGATCAGGTGATGTTGGCTGTTTATTGATGATAACAAGGATGATAGAGATATCATCATGTAATTGCCTGAATCCCAAAGTTTTGGTTATATAACACTTGTGTTATTAAAGTAGTTTTATAATAGAAGCTGTTTAATTTTACATCATGAGAGCAATGTTGTTTATCAAATATTATAAAGGATTGTAAAAACATTTAGTGCATTCAACTTTTTCCTCTACATTATTATTATATAAGTATCAGTGTATGACTCTCAACAATGGTGACAATAAATTATATGCTTCTTGCTGCAGTGCATGCTGGGTACCACCAATCAAAACTCACCCATATCTCCCAGCATGCATTGCGGCATTAATAAATTATGCAGCTGGATTTTTTGTAGCTTGTTTTATCCTCAGAGTTGACCTGATTATCAGGATATTTTATTTGATTTTCACCATTGTTGAGATTCATATGCTGTTTCTTGATGTCTGTGTGTGTCTAAGTTCTGCCATAGATGAAAGGTTTTTGTGCACTAAACAGTCTTTAAAAACCAAGTATATTATTTGATAAACCACATTGCTAGATATGCTGTAGAATCAAATGATAAGTCCTATATAATCAAAGCATGAGACACTGAATAGGATCAGGGATTCAGGCAATTGCATTCTGATATCATCATCATCAATAAACAGCCAGCATCACCTGATCTTAATTTCTCATGGCTTGTTAACCTTCAACAATTGTGCTTTATAAACACACAATTATAGCAGCCAGAGAAATTTTGTACATTAATGAGTCAAGGGTCAAGAGTACAACTGAAGCAAACGCTAACCACCATCATGGTGACTTTAAAATACAAAATATGATTTCATTAAAATGGAAATTAAATAAAGTAAATCTGGTTAGTTTTAAGTGAAGCTGGTAATAAGTGTACGGCCATGCATTTCATCTTTTTGTTTGGTTTATTACAACCAAAATTCAACGACTGCCCAACGTTGGAGCTTGACGTCAAACAAACATTGGATTTAGACGTCAACCTGACTTTCGTTTTCAACCAAAATCCAACGTCTGACCGCCGTTGTAGTCTATATCCTGTGCCTGCTGGGTTAGTACGGTGCAAAACTGACTGGTGGAGATTGTTACATATTTGCGTTTGCTGTTTGCTTATATTGAGCAAGTTACGTTGTGCACATATATAAAATGGACTCTTTCACATGACTGGATCATATGGGCATGAACACTCAAAAGGGTCTGAGGTTAAACACCTGATGATGCTGTTTCATGATTAGTCCAACCATCATCACTGATGTATTATCAAGCTGTTGCGTCTGTGGAAAACCAGTCTTGATTTTCCACATTTTGCTAGGAGAGTCCCTGAAAATTGGTGCTTAATTGGTGGTTGTCCCGTAACTATATAATCAGTTTATCATTGAAGTATCTCACTGTAACAGATGTTGTCTTATTTAAACAGATATGACAGATAGACATCAGCTATAATAGATCAAAGGCAATTATGTCGTTGCATGCAATGGAGCGCAAGGTGATTAAAGTGCTATTGTAATGGGATTAGACCGTGTTGATACCATGATACCAGGAGCTGTTGATATCAACAAACATTTGATTATCTTTTGGCGTCGAGTGTGGTGATGATGATGGATGAAGATGGCTTTACGTGCAGCGCATTAGTGAGCCGATCAGAGCTCAAGTGAGAATATGCCATTCACTTTCTACATCTAAACTGCGATTTAAGGAAATTAATAGGAATGCACGATATATCGGTCGCCATTTCGGTATCGATATATGTTAATTTTTAATGTTATCGTTATCGGCCCGATAAAATAATTTGGCCGATATATTAAAGCTGGTAAATAATGTATTATTTCCTAAAGCTGAGACACTTCAGATGTTCAAGATTGAATTGCTTGAAATATGATTGGAATCACTTTGAAAAAGGAAAATACGGTTCAGTGCAAGACAAGTCTGTAACATCATGGACATGGATTTTAATGGTAAGACTTTTGTTTTTTGTAATCAGGCTCTCAAAACGTATATATAAATTTGGATTTAGATTTATCTGCCAATATATCGATTATCGGCTTTCAAATATAAAGAATTATCGGTTATCGGTATCGGGCAAAATTTTCATGTCGGTGCATCCCTAGAAATGAAGGAAAGAAATTGATATAAGTATAGTTGATATTCATGTTTGCTTCTCAAAACATTTAGGATCTTTAAGATATTTTTGCTAAAATATTCTTAGTATATATGTTAGTCATCTAAAATAGCAAACACATTGTTACAATTTATTTATTTATTTTTGGTCTCAGTTGTAATATTGTCAATACTGGTTTATGTCTAGAAAACATAATCTTGTACGTGTTTGGTGTGCTCACATGAGACAAACAATACCCCGGGACAATAAGGGTTCTGGTTTACTGGAATAGAGATTACGAGAAAGCCGAAAGGCCAGAGAACCAGCATGTCAACACTTTCAAGGAAAGGTTTAAAGTCTCCCTGTAGTCAATCATTTTATCCCTTAAAACTCATCTTTGATCACCAAAACGACATATTAAAAAAAAAAATCCTTGGGAAAAAAAATTCTTCATGCCTTAAAATATCTTGGATGTAACTCTACACCCTTGCCTCTTTTAGTATGCGTGGTTCTATGAATATTCAAATGAGCCCCGCCTCCACTCACTCACTCAGCTCAGAGATCCACTGGTTGACGATCACACGTTGATCTGATTGGTTACAAGGTAGTGTGTGACGTCAGAAACACCAGCGATTTCAAACCGTGTGTTTGAGACTGTCTTTGGTTCACTGCAGTTTTAAGGAGGAAATACTCAGCAATGCTGTCGACTTATGAATTTACACATGGTTTGTCTTAAAGCACATTAAAAACACCACATAGACATATAAACAACATTAAGAGCTGTATTTTCACCACAGATGCTCTTCTTCCCTCCCGGTGCTTCTAGATGTTTTCGCTTTGGTAAAAATAGTGAGGATCAGCAAAGACGTTGTTCAGAATTAATGTCTTTTTAACGAAAAAGCCTTGTTTAGAAAGTATAATATCTACAAAATGCATTAAAATGAAAGCAACCACTTTATATATAATTCATTCTGCTTATGTTTCAGGCTCATAAATACATATTAGCTGAGATAAACTGAGTGTCTGAATTACCACGCTAAATTAAGCTGGCGTTGGTGTCTGTTAGCATTGCATATTCATTATATTCATAGATGTGACAGAATAGGTCAATTTGATTTGTAGAAATCATGGTCTAAACAATCCTTGAGCCAGTTTCACTGGGTTCACAAGACCAGCACAGCGGACTGACTTCTCAAAGTACCTTAAAATGAAACTTCCCAGCTTAAAAAGCCTTAGACTTCTGATTGATCTGTACTATTAGTTACTATAAAACCTCTTTTAAGTGGCTGCACATGATGGTTGTTTGTTCATATATTCTCTAAATTCATCAAATCGGACCTACTTCTGAATGTTATATCGCAGCTCTCTAACAAATTTTGTCATATGAGAAGTCATATTTTACTGTGCACAGATGTCATTACTCAGTTTATGGACAGTAGCGAACACAATTAAATCAGGCGAACTACTATAACAACTCAAAAAACAGTCACATGACCTAAAAGCTTTTCAAAATTGATCAGTCACAACCTTATGAGAGTCAAATTCAGCAGGTAACACACAATTTAGACTTCTATCCTAGCTATACGAAGTGACTAATCATCCAAAGTTATTCAAATGATTTGTAATGTAAATAAACATATTTATGATTATTCATAATGAAAATGATTGTAAATGTTAAGGTGCTTTACTATACGTGTCAAATCTCCCTATTCTGTGGGCAATATATGTTTAAGCACATTCTCACTTTTAGTACTTTTAGTATCTAAATATATATTTCCTCGAATATTGATTATAGAAAAAAGCAGCTTCGATCAGGTCAGATTGTCCAGAGCGAGAGAGACACCCGGAGACCAACCGAAGAAACACCACAAACTCAAGAAGACTTCGTGATGCTTTTTGATTAGAATTATTATTCAGACTTATTCTCCAGTGTTATCTGAAATTATACATTTAATTTGAATATATACAAATTATTATCCAACAAACAGTCACATACTGATAGGTCTGTATGTAAACGCAAACACAGTTTGACCATTTAAGCAAAAAAGAAAGAAAATCTTTTCAGTGGAAACATGAAGAAATAATAATTTACCATAAGAAATGACAATGATTAGATTGAAAAACAGACGCTAGTCAATAACATTCGGTCAGCCACGTCACATCAGGGTCCCTCCGGTTGGTTTAATACCTGGAAGAGAATAAAGAACGGTTAAGAAATATTTATGAATGCATTATGTATGGGATAGTAGTTCTCTTCACCTTTTTGAAGAGCTTAAAGCCGAAGTAGTTCGTTGCCATGTTCCTCAGTTTAGTTCCACCGCCTACTTTACATCTCACATATCCGTACAGGTTAGCCCACTGCAACACAACTCCCATTATCACAACCGCCTGCTCACACACACACGCACAGAGAGAGACACACAAACACACACGTCAGGAAGGTTACAGCTCACAGAGGTTTTTCACAGTAAAAAAACCCCAGCACAAAAAATAAAAATAAATAAAAATAAAACTCACCAACCACTTTATGTTGAGGGACAAAAGGGAGCTGAACACAAAGAAGCCCCAAAACACCGGACACACGATCAGACCGAACCAGAAAATGCGGGATTCAGAGTTTGAGACCACCTTTTTACTGGCTTCCTATGAGAAAATACATCAAACGAGAATTAGAGAAATAGTTCACTCAAAAATACATTCTCCCTTATGCGTTTTAAATGTGTGTTTGTTTTGATGGTCCACTTTAGACATGTTACTAACCAGAAGTAACTTTGCAACTACATGTCAACTAACTCTCATTAGAGCATTAGTAGATAATAGACTGTTTGGGTTAGGAGAATAAGTTGACATGTAGTTGTGAAGTTACTTACAGTCCAGACTGATCTCATGAAATGGCGTATGTATGACACGCCAATTCGTATTTCCATTTTTGGCGTGCTATCAACACGCATAATCGCTTTCCAGCGTGTTTATCAACGCCTTTGACTTAACGTTATATTACTGTATTATGCATATATAAATATATGACCTACCCCAACCCCGTCCCTAAACCTACCCGTCACTGGGGTTAATACCATTTATGAGTCTTCTCCTACCATCCTAGGAAAAGAAATATCGCTCCACAGATGTAGATATAGATTTTGCTTCGTTTCGCTCGGACATTTAACGGCGTAGACATACACGCGGAATCACTCGGACATTTAATGGCGTAGACATACACGCAAAAGATTTCGGCGTGGACATACACGCGGATATTTCAAAATGCGTATAGATAACACGCCACTTGAATTGAAAGTGGCGTGTATGTTTACGCAAAGTCATGATGTCATGTTGCACAGTCAGTCGAATGTCTAAAGTGGACCATCGAAATAAAGTGTTACCAAATTATTATTTTTTACGTGTTTTTTAAGAACCTTTGCACGACTTTTTTCTCTCTCCATAAAACGATGGTTCACAATGACAAGCTCCAAAAAAAAGGACAAAATTACATAAATGTATGCATGATCAGCATGTGCAGATTGGAGAATAATGTTTGAGATTTTTACTGTTTTATTGTTGGCAGTAAATATGTTTTTAAACTGTTCTTCACACAAAGCTCTTGTGTGACTTCAGAACAATTTAATGGTGTTGTTTTATTCTGTTATCCTGAACGCCCTTCCTTTAGTGTTTCATAGAACAAAGAGAGTTCAGAATTTGTTTTTCATATGAATTATCTGTTCCTTTAATATTTCAACACTGCGACTCAAGAGGAAATTCCTCTCTTTAAAATAGTTACACAACTGAAGGTGTTGTGCGCTCACTAACAGTGACGAAACATGACCATTAAACTTTGATCGAGTGGCGATAGCTATAGCTATATATTAAAGTTGTACATTACCTCAGAATTGTTAGTGAGAATCATAAACTTGATTTTTATTATATGGTTGCCTTACAGAGTTGCAAAAATGCTTAATTTCCTGCAGTATTGTAAAGTTGTGGGTGGCGAGACTCACTGATCTGGATTCAAACATCCATTGACTGCGACCGTCTTCATCAACCTGATTCCACCATCTCAAGCCCACCAACAGCCGTCCCGTCACGTTCTCAAATAAAAACAACACACACACACACACACACAGTTATAGAGAAGAACAGGTTTATTATACATTCTTGAAGTCTCATCACAACCCGTTTTTCTTCTATAAACTGGTGCGTTTCAATGGGACTTTTATTTTGACAGGCTAATTGTCTCCGCCCATTCCGACATGATGATGTCAGCAAAAATGGAAAATTGATTCAAAGACAGAGCAAGTAATTTTGATGAAAGATTAACGAAGACTAGCACTTTTTAAATTTGGAACAACATGCATAATAAGACCAGGAACATGGTGCGCTTCGGTCATTTTTGACCGGAAAATTTTACATTTGGTTTTTTTTGGAATCGGGATGGTACGAAACTTGGTAAAGGTTTTGGCACTTGCTGTGTGAACACACACACGAAAAAATCATGGACATGATTCGAACAGGTTAAATGGTCCTGAAAAAAATAGGCACATTGTGCTCTTCGTGGTCAAAAACGAGCGCATTAAAGTACCTTTGGTGCTGCAGGAAAACAAAATCTCACTGAAACCTCTTTTTTTTAGATATAAAGCTCAAATTTTGAACAACTTGTTTAGAGTTATGGCTTTGATTTCCTCACAGTTTTAGAGTAAAACATGTTTTTGAAAATATATATTTCATATAAAAATTGAAAATAGTATTTTTGCACATTTTCCATAACAATGAACGTAAAATTCTGTAACTTTTTTTTTAAGTTCACTTTTTAAAACTTGTTTCACTTCAGCAATAATCTGCCAAGCGTCGTCTTCGAAAAGAGATCAAACTTCAGTCTGTTGCTAACTTGCTATAAAGCATTCATGATTTACCACGGCTTAAGTTGGACATTTAATTTTCAGGTCTATGCTCAAAAAGTGATACATGGATTATAAGTACAGCGTAAATATAATTTAGTACCATAAAATCCCCTAAAAATACAAAATATTAAATCAAAAACATTATCAAACTATATAGTACATTGATTTCCAAATTATTTTGATGAAACATAACGTCGACTAATTTGGAACAACATGAAAAGACCACGAACAGTAAGAAAGAAATTAAGTAAGTACGTTAAGAAAGTGAACGTAAGATTTCGTGTTGATTCCACATGCTCACCTTTACTGTCCAGAAGTCACATGACAGAAGTAAAATGATGGTGACCATGTTGCCAATAAAACTTCGGCTGAGAAACTCGCAAAAGAGGTAGATCATGACTGCACTCGTGCGGAAGAAAAGGTGAAAGAAACAGGCCAGAGGGTGTCTGAGAAAAACAACATATTATTCTTTATCATTCATTCTTTACGGGGAAACTGCTCTGTGTACTATATGTACAGTTTTAAATGTCACTTAATGTCAGTTTCTCTAGTCCATTTGTTTTCCCAAACCTAAAAACTCACTTGATATTTGATTTCTTCTGCCTAAATGCAGTTTCATCCTCATGAAATAATGGCACTTCACCCAGAGAGTCCTTCAAAACAAACAGTTTTTAGCACTTTTACATCTTTTAAAGTGTCTCTTTATATTAGTGCAACGGTTATTTAGTTATATCCTTCATCCACAAGTCATGCAACTTGACAACACATGCAGAACTCGACATGTATACGACCATATTTAAGCATTGAGGGCTCTTTAATAAAAGATTTTTTTAAAGGAAATATAAGTGACAACTCACCTGTCTGATCATGTTGGCGAAGGTAGTGTTATTTCCTGCTGACGTGTATGTAAACACACGTGTCCACACACACTCTCTCTATGAGAAGCAAAAGTTAGTAATATTTAGAGTTGTGACGTTCGCGAACGAACCGATTCTTTTGAACGGCTCATAAACATGAACGATGGGAGCCGAGTCGCGGCTGGAGGGGAGCCGTTCTTTCTGTCGTTCTTTTTTCATGCGTGTTTCACACAGATGCACACAAATTAGCTCCTCAGTTATAGGGGAAGGGGCGCACCCAGCGCAGGGGTGCTACTGCCTAAAGGGGCTTTCACACAGGACGCGGAATGGGCTGCGCTGCGCTGCGCTGGCCGCTGGGTTCAGCGTTGCCCTTCAGATACAACGCGAGTTGCGCTGCGCTATGCCAGAGCAAAGTAGGCAGAGTTTTCAAAAACCTTTTAAGCGGGAGTTCTATGTATTATATATATATATACACACACACACACACACACACACACACACATATATAACATCGAAATCAACACACGAATCATGAGCTCAGTTCTTTTTTAGAATAAAACATTTATTCAAACATTAAAGCTGACACAAAGGAACAAATTATTAATATATTAAAACACACCTGACATGCCAACTTGAATGGAGATATGTCTCCATGACACCGCTTTTCTGCCGATGTCCCTATACGACCTCAAACTTGTATCATAGAGCTCAGGAAATTCCGATACACACAGTAGCCTACTAGCCGTTCATCCATTTTGATTTCCGTGTTTGTTTGGATGTCCCGTTTCTATTGGCCGCGCTGATAATCGTCACAGAGCGCAGCGGCAAAAGTTAAACTATTTTGAACTTTGACCGCGGCGTGCGCGCGAGCAAGTCAATGGTGCGCACCGCTGCGCTTGCGCTTTGCTCGACGCAGCAACAAAACGTCTTCGCGTGGCGCAAGCCATTGAAATGAATGGGTTTCATAGCGCAGCGCAGCGCTTTCCGCGTCCTGTGTGAAAGGCCCATAACAGCATGATGATAGTTGTGCACGCGCGCGCATCCTTTACGTGAGTACTCCAGTGGGAAAAAACCCTACGTGCTGTCATTGGGTAGGAGCAGAGCCAATGACTTATGCCGTCACATGGTTACTCCAGTAAAAAAAAAAAAAAAAAAAACCACTAAAGTAACACTAAGTTCCTTTGTAAATAAATACAAAGGAACTGCTTTGTATTTATTTACATTGCATTTTGTGTTCATGTTATTGTATCTACAGTATATATTTACAACTTTAAATAGTTTTTGTTTTTTATCAAAATGTTCTTGTGGTATTGTATGAATAACATAAGTCAACATAGCTTTACACATACACATACTTTGTACTAAAGGTAAATCCAAAATAGTGATATCACTTTCTAAGCAGAGGGATGTTGTGCAACCCTATGGAATATAGTCCACACATGACAAATGAGGTAATAATCAATATTTCAGAATAATTCAAACTCAGATATTGGTGTGTGATATCTGAGTTTTAATTAATTGACTACAAATCTCACCTCATCATTCCTCCCAGTGATTATTTCCAGGATAAACTGAGATGCCCCCAAGCTGGCTTCTTTAAACTGACTAAATATTTAAAAAGAGCCAAAAGAGCCGTTCTTTTGAACGGCTCTTTGAAAGGAACGGATCGCAAAGATCCGGATCTCCTCAAAGAGCCATAAATCCCATCTCTAGTAATATTTCATTTGAGCTTTACTTCCTATAGGAGGCGCTTGGTGGCTCAAATAATGATTCCTCAAATTAATCACAGGCAAATCTCACGAACCTTATTTCAGATATTTTATGGTAGCCTACAAAGTATAATTACTTAAATTGATGATAGAAAAAGATTGTTACAACATGTAATAAAAAAAATGAAAAATGAAATAATTTTAAAACATTATTTCCAGTATTCAGAAACGATTGTGATTGGTCGATTATCTGACTGGCGGTTAGAAAAACACTATACATCACGTGACAACGACGCCTGCAGTTTCAGCACCGGTCCTGAACGTAAGGTTTATTTTATTTTAACTAATACAGATACAATAAAGGTGATAAGCTGTTCTGAAACTAAAGTAAAAGGTGAACAAAGTCCAAGATGAAAAGAGTTTAGCTTATCTTGGTATCAGCTGTTTAAAATCAACATTCCCTTTTTTAATCAAGTCCAATTTATTTGCATTGTGCTTTTCACATTGTTTCAAATCAGCTTTACAGAAAATCATGATGTTAAAGTTTATAATATCTTAATATGTCGTCCATGCTTTTTGCTAAGATACAAGCAAAGCAATCAAGCATTTGAGATATGATACACTAAGCCAATTTTCACTGTATGTATGCGGATAAAGTTGGACATACTTATATAATATAATATAAATGATATACAACTTTATATAGAGTAGGGCATTTGATATTAACATTTAAAATCGCTAGTTGGTTAATTAATTTAAGGTAGCTATTAATTCATTATGTTGATGAGAATTCTGTAACCTGAGGTTTAGCCTAGTTCAATTTTGTAAACAATTTGGTGTAGTGACACTGTTAAGTAAGTGATGTATGACAGGGTTATAAAAATTCGATAGTATCGGCCATCCCTCTATTTCTGATTATGTAACAGAGGAGCTTTAGTGCCGAGTAATAAGCAATATAAGAGTGGGAGAGGAAATGTATTTTATTTAGCCGACATGTCCCTAGGGTAACTTTGAAAACTAATCGTAGTAAATAAAATACTTATCCTGCAGGGTGCTGTATGTTTTATTAAATGGCTTGGAGAAACACTACATCTCTGATGTATCCTGCACTTTTCAGCCAATCAGAAACACAAATTGCCTGTCAATCATTTGGCATGTTTGGGTTTTCTGCCATGGAATTGGCTGTCGTGTCTTTGGTGGTTGTAGTGATGGGACTAGTCTAATTCAGTGGCTAATCTGGCGAAGTTAGCAAAATGGTGGAAATGGCTCACAGCGTCTTTCAGTGCTGAAGTAGCATGGCATTGCAGTCTGGCAAACATGGCATCATTTAAGAAGAAATAAGAGAGAAAGAGGGAGGTAAGGTAACAAAGCATTTTCTCTCCTTTCCTACGTCATGTTTTTCTGCTAAAAGTACGCAATAGAGGTCCAACAGTTGGCCTATTAAATATTCCACAGTCATCCCAATGTGTGCCTTTGTCGTCATCGTAGTAGATGTTTTACTGACAAAATAGCTCTTGTGAATTTTTCACCAAGTTATAGCTTGGACTCTCATGTGACAGTCGCACCGTTAGCGTCAGACCAAAGGTCGTTCTGTGTTTTTCTTCCCTCTCATTCCTCTCACGATGGCTCTTCGACACAGCGTCCTGCTTTTCCTTTGCATTTTAAATCCATTTGCCAATGCTCTCTACAAGCAATGGATCCCAGACACCAACTTTGAGAACGCAACCAACTGGGATAAAGGCTCTGTTCCCTGCGGGAATGACCAAGTGGTGTTTCTAGCTCAGAGGAAAGTATCAGTGTACGTGGAAACGTCTCACACTCTCACTGGGATGAGTTTGCCGGTGGATGGACAGCTGATCCTGGCGTCTGGTTCTGGGTTTTCCGTGAGAGAAGGAGGAGATCCCGGATGTGGATCTGGAGTCACGGCACAGTTTAAAGACCCTGAGTCTCTGAAGTGGTTCGACCCGTCACTATGGTTAGCCGCGACTTCTATCGACGACCTTCACGGAGGAAGATATCAGTTTTCCGTCCACGAGGAGAGTGTCCCGTGCCAGTTTGACGACGTCGTGTTTCGAGAAGCAACCTCTTTCCGTGTGGACGTTTCATGTGATCATGATGTGCCGGTGAAAAGCGTGTCTGTTCTTGGGAAGAAGTTCACCAGCAGCTCTGAGTTTTCCCAGTACTTATCATCAGATTTCGGCCGGCTCCAGTTCCACGGATCCTCACCCGTTCGCGTTGGCGGATCAAGTTGCGCCGATATAACGGGATGCATCTGCGATAACTCTAAGAATCGAGAAGAGATCTGCGCGAACGTGAAATGCGATCCGTTGGAGTGCAAGAAACCCCTGCATCCAGTCGGACATTGTTGCGATGTTTGCGGCGCCGTCGTGGACGTTCGCTTCTCTTCGAGCTTCAACTTTGAGTCGTATCGTAATCGACTCCTGCATTACTTTCTCAGCCTGCCAAAATACAAGACTATAAAGATGGCCGTGTCGAAAGTTTCAAAGGAGCAAAGCCTGCTAGCGTTGATTCCTTTCGGATCCACCCAGGAGATACAGGTGCTGCTTCTGGATCGGGAAACGGGTCAAGACGCCGGGAATCTCGCGGAAAGTCTCGCTCGTGAGATAGTGAAGGATGTGCACGACCACGGATCGAACATCGGCATCACCAGTGCAGATTTCCAGGCGTCATCGGGAGCGAGTAGCGGTGAAATTGCGGGAAACAGTGCGCCGGGAGTGGTGGTGGGAGCCGTTCTGGGATCCCTGATCGGACTGGGTTTACTCGCAGGCGTTGTTCTCCTCTATCGGCGTGGCTTGGTTACGATGCCCAGAATGCCTAGCATCCCCTCTTTCAGCAAATGGAGGAACAACGGTGACGTTGGGGAGCTTGGTGGCGCATTGGACCGGGGCTACGACAACCCAATGTTCGACAAGCCGACGATGATGCCAGAAGTATCGGAGCTGTACGGGACAGAGATGATGAACTCAGTGACCCTAACCCAGTCGGGAGTGCATTTCGTAAATCCTGTTTATGATGAAACTGATTTCAATGCATGAATGGTGTGGTTTCAGCAGATCTGATTGTGGATGTGATGACAAAATAACCTGAATGTGACTTTAACAGTCACTGATGTTTAAATCTGCAGAGTTGAATCAGTAACCAAATGAAAATGTGCCCTAGTGAAAAAACATATACCAAAACGTATTTAAAATACATTTTATTTCATACTAAGTACACTACAAATCCATTCACATGTTTACTGATATAAACATTATAATTAAACTTTATTTCGAGCACTTCTTTATTGAACATTTCGTAATATCAAGCCTAAAATGTGTTTAATATCACTATTAGTAAGGATAGTATGATCTCTGTATAATGTAAATGCAAGATATGTGTACCTAATGTATACTTGCTATAGTTCACAATCAAATATACTTAAGTATATTTTTAGTTGGACTTCAGCACTATTTCCGGATAACTAAAGTGCAGGGTATTTATATTAAGTACAAAAATATGTAAATGTATTTGTAGTATACTTAGGAGAAAATAAATGTGTTTCAAATAAATACATTTAAATTCACACATGCTAAATTTTCTGTACTTTCATACCACACAATGACATTTCTCGTGATTAAAAAAACTAAATAAAAGCATGGTTATCTGACATTTTTGGCTAGAATATTGTTATATTACTCTTTTAAATCAGGTTTAAATTCTGTGGGTTTAACTCGAACCTGCATTTGAATGAATGAATAAATAAATAATACTATGGGCAACTGCCAGTGTTTATATAGTAATTCCATTTAAAGTTTGTTGCCACAACATTTACCTTCCAAGTATCAAAGAAAACTGTCCTCAGCGGAAGCCAGTAAACAAACAAGTTATTAATATTAGGTTAAACCTCCGATTTTGAAGTGACAACTTTCATGTTTGATAGATAGCAAGACTGATTCTGCTTATGACAACATGTATTATTCGCTATTATTATTACATTGCAGGCTCTTTAGTTCTGTGTTGGCGTCTAGTCCTTTAGTTGTTTTAATCCTGGTCTTGGAGAACCACTGCTGCACATTTTTATGTATGTTTTTTATCTGACATCTTGAGTTCATAAGGCTCTCTTCTAACGAGCTGATGATCTGAATCTGGTCAAATTGGTAAATAAGAAAGACATACAGATTCAACATGTTCAGTGCTGTGGGTCCCCAGGAATAGGATTAAAAATAATTTTAAATCACCAGTACAAAGATGGTTTTCTAAAGAACCAGAGAGAAAAAAATCTAAAGATTATTATAAAATAATACCCTGTTTAGCTCGTATTAGGAGTGTAGTTCTTATTGGTGATGTCTATATTATATACTGTATATTTAGCATAATTATTATCCTGTAGGGGTCATTGAGGTTATTGCTCATAACATTTAACATATTGCTCATAATAATTTTGTTCATTTTTACAGTCATCATAACATTTACAGTCTTTTCGTTCGGGAGGCAGGGGATCATTAATACTTACCAAAATGACTATTTTCCACTTAACACATTGATCATATCTTTACAAACGATCAGACAAAGAAAACCACACTTCACAAAAATTGCAAGTTTATGAATTTGTTTAATACCAGCAAATGTCATTATAAATAAAGTTGATGTAAGGGTTATAAAACATGGCTGTAAATGCGGTTATAAATATTGAAGGAAGACACGATGTAATAATTTGATCACATGGACTATAACGGACCAGCTTGTACTGCAGACCTGTGCACGAACCATAGAGTTTACTGACAATATACTTCAAAAACTGCTGTCCTCATAAAGCGAAACGACTCGTGGTAATGAGTTCTGCAAGTTAAAGCTCCTGGATCAACAAAGGGCTCTCTGTGTAAGCCAACTCAACCATGCATCACTCATCCAATTACTCGTGTTTCAAAAAACGTGTTATGGCTAAATACATGTAAACATTATGTGTAACATAATGTGAGGGTGGTGCAGACAAACGCTTTTCTCCTACATACAGTCCCCACAACAGCAACACTCACTTCAGATTGTATTATGTATTCAAATCTCCCTGTGTGTAATTAAAAAGACTAGCAAAGCTACAATTACCACCATGCACTGATCTTTGCATGTCTAACAAAGAATTATGAAACATTTGTCAAATTATATACACAAAGTTATGTCTTAAATGACATTTTGTATAGAAATGTGTAGGCACTGAGAAATATGCCCCATGGGGGCAGAAATATTATAAGACTAAGAGTGTGTGTAATGAGATGTGACCTCATTTCCACTCTCTTCATTTGCCACATAACACGTGATAACCATTAAATTTTAACGTAATTTCCATTTTTATGCATATTGCGCCATTTGTGTCAGTTACAGAGGTAATATGGTCATTCAGCTATTTCAAAACCTTTACTATAAAAGTTGTATTGCATTATTACAAGAGACTTCATCGTACCACAGGCTGTTTTTTATTTATTTCTGCCTGGTTTTGAGTTGATTTAGGCCAAGGGTGTTCAATCCTGCTCCATTTCCCTAATTAAACACACCTGAACTAGCTAAAATCAGTTGGGATCACAAGAAACTTCTGGGCGGGTGTTTTCAAGCTATCCAGATCTTTCGATTGAAACTGTGTCGTGTAAGCTAACCCCTAAGTTAATAACTAATGGTCTTTGCAACGGAAGTGAATCAATCAAAACTAACTTTATCTGGACAATAACTTTATTCTAGAGCTGCTGTAAAGCCCAAATAATCTCTGTTGCTGTAATTTCCTATTATCACTGTAAAGCTGTTTTGAAACGAGCTATATTGCGCTATATAAATGGAGGTGACTTGACTTTTGGTGTAACAGAAGCAAGCTAGTAAACCTCACTCCCCTGGTCTCAAGAGGCCAACGAGCAACTGTGGCTTTTAGCGTCCTTGTTAGCACGCCCGCCTCATGCCAGAGACGCCGGTTCGAATACCGCTTGAATTGGGTCGAGTAAGACCGGTTACACTGGCGCTAGGAAGGTGAGCGTCCAGGAGCAGGATTGACCACTCTAAGGGGCTGTTTACACGACACCGCTTTCAACTAAAAACGTTAAACCTTTTATGCGTTTTGGCCGTTCGTTTACACGTTAACCGGCGCCTGAAAACGCAAAACGGGTTTCAAAGTGCAAGTTTCAGAAAACGGTCTCCGTGTAAGCAACAAAAACGCAAATCTCTGAAGACGATGACGTCATACACATGCGTATTACGTGTTCAGTGTACAGTGTTTCATCGCCATCTACTGGCCTGGCAGCAGAAAATAGCGCTTTTAGACGTTTTCGTGGATCCGTGTGAATGGGGATCGTTTTGACAATGGTGTCGTCTGTACGCGGAAAACTCAAAGGAAAAACTTCTCCGTTTTAAGCATATCGTTGTCATGTAAACACACCCTTAGTTTAGGCTTCTCTTTCTTTAGCATCTCTGCTGCACTGTTTCTTCATTGGCCAAATGTTGACAAAGTAACTTTTCCCATCTTCAAAGAAAAAAAAAATTGGTACAATGGTTCTGTAAACTCTTACCAATTCTTCAACTTTAAACATTCATTGAGGTAAAAACAGACTGTAATGGAGGAACTTCACAACTCAGTGTCTTCTATGCAACCTGGCTCCTCGATGGCCTCCAGTCGGCGCTGGCATGCGTCTATGATCTTCTTCCGGGGTCCCAACGGGATGTGAATGCTCTTGAGGTCGGCATCGGAGCACAGCAACAAGGCATCCAGGTCGATCTTTTCTCTTTTGAAGATGGGAATGAACTCGTTCATGTTCTGTGTGGCCAGGAACACTTCCAGTGGGCTTGTTTCCGGCTCGTCATCGTCATCCAGTCCAAGCTCAACCTCGTCCCAAGGCAGCTCTTGCACGTTCCTCTCTTGCAAGCTATGGGCGCTACCAATGCTATCGTCATCTAAACTGGGTGCGCGATGCATTCGACTGCGAAGGCGCACATTATCGACCCGATCGCTGCCTGCAAGACTGCCTTCATCTCTGCTACCAATGCCAAAAAGTCCACCGCTAACGTAGTTTCTCCGGAAAACCATGGTTCCCAAACCGGGACGGTTAAAGAGCGAGTCGTGTCCTGAGTCGGTGCTGATCTCTGAGTAGTCCACATCTTGACCATGCAGGTCGGGTTCACTGATGGCACGCGAGACGGCGTCGTCGTTGTCGTTGGGGAACATGTCGCGTATGTTGCGACGAGACCGGTCCTTAGGGTTGACGTACGTGCCCTGCTTCAGAAACATGACGTCGTTGCCTAGTTGCAGGCCGGACAAAGAGCGGACACTCTTCCTGCCATCTTCGTAAATCTTGAATGTCCCGTCACCTTGCTTCTTCTTGTCAAGCTTCCTCTGGATTTTAGTTTTGCCCCTGGCTGTGGCGTGGAGAGTAGCCTAGAGCGACAAAGTTGGCAAAAGGGTTAAAAATCATCTTTTTAACCCTTAAAACTCATCTTTGATCACCAAAATGACATATTTCAATGTCTTCAAATATCTTGAATGTAACTCGACACCCTTGCCTCCTTTAGTTTGCGCGGTTCTATGAATATGCAAATGAGCCCAACTTACTGAGGTAAACGCTGCACAATGGTGTCACTCTTTACAACGTCGGACACACAACGGCAATTAATATGATTAGTCTTTTGCTTGACTATGTTATCAAACCGCTAATAATGTGTTGCAAATGTTACACAAACCATGTTCCCGATCGCATCTCAGAGTCAGAGTCTTTAGGAACGCTTTGAACAACTCAGAACGTCAGTGGAGAAAGACATAGTATATAGTTCATCATAACATATACATCATACACCCGCCATATTGCTAAATCTACCCGATTTTTCATACCAACAGAAAAACATACCGGGATAACCTGGTATCTTTCGAGACTCCTCTGCTAGTTAATGATATGCAAAAGCCCGCCGGCACATTGATGTGATTGGCTACAAGGTAGTTTGTGACGTCAGAAACGCCAGCGATTTTTTTCACTGCAGTTTTAAGGAGAAAATAGTCAGCAATGCTGTCGACTTATGAATTTACACATGGTTTGTTTTGAAACCATATTAAAAACACCACATATAAACAACATTAAAAACTTGATTTTCACCACAGGAGGACTTTAAGATCCACTTCCCTCCCGGTGCTTCTAGATCAGGGGTGCCCAACCCTGCTCCTGCCGATCGACTGTCCTGCACATTTCATCTCCAACCCTAATCAAACACACCTGCCTTTAATTTTCAAGTGATCCTGAAGACCTTAATTGGTTGCGTCAGGTGTGTTTGATTAGGGTTGGAGATAAACTGTGCAGGACAGTCGATCGGCAGGAGCAGGTTTGGGCACCCCACTGTTCTAGATGTTTTTGTTTTGGTAAAAGTAGTGAGAATCAGCAAAGATGTTGTTCAGAATGAATGTATTTTTTAGCAAAAAAGCCTTGGTTAGAAAGTATAATATCTACGAAATGCGTTAAAATGAAAGCTACGGCTTTTTACACAATTCATTCTGCTTATGTTTCAGGCTCATATTGGCTGAGATAAACTGAGTGTCTGAATTACCACGTTAAATTAAGCTGGCGTTGTTGTCTAATAGCATTGCATATTCATAGATGTGACAGAATAGGTCAATTTTATAGAAATCACATGGTCTGAAAATCCTAGAGCCAGTTTCACTGGGTTTCAGCCAATGGCACATTGGTTACAAGGTAGTTTGTGACGTCAGAAACACCAGCGATTTCAAACCGTGTTTTTGAGACTGTCTTTGGTTCACTGCAGTTTTAAGGAGAAAACACTTGTCGACTTATGAATTTACACATGGTTTGTCTTAAAGCATATTAAAAACACCACATAGATAGACATATAAACAAACATTAAAAACTTGATTTTCACCACAGTGGGACTCTTTAAGCATTGAAAATCGATAGCCTAGAGCGACAAAGTTGGCAAAAGGGTAAAAATCTGCTTCAGTGTCTGGCTTGTAACTAACATCGATAACTATTGAAGAGCGATCGGAGAGTTTCTGACCTGGGAGTATGGCACATTAGTGGCGGTGTTGAAGTGGTGTAGCTTGCGACTCAAGGTGCTGCTGGCGTAGCTGGAGAAGCTCATGGCGTCCGAGACTGATGCTTCGTTTGTCTCTCTCTGAAACTTACGCTCCATACGCCGCCGGTGCTTCTGCTGCAGTTTAACACACTCCTTGATGCGCCGTTCGGCATCACGGAAAGCCCGGTCCTTCAGTTTGCTCACCAGCTTGGGGTTGAGCGCCGTCTGCTTGGCAGCGATGGAGTCCAGATAGCGCACACTATCCATGTGGTTCTTGGTGGCGGCCATGTCCAAAGGCGTGTGGTAATCGTTGTCCAGGCACCACACATTGGCACCAAACGACACCAGGAAGGACAGGCAGTTGAGATGGCCATTGGAGGCGGCCAGGTGGAGTGGCGTGTTCCCCCATATGTCACACTTGTCTGGGTTCCCCCTGAAAGTAGAGGCGTGATAGAGATCCATATCAGGTGTGGCATTTAACGGTGACATTTATGAAACTAGTAATCCTGTTACTTGAGATCTACCTTCCTGCCAAGTTCAGCTCCAACCCTGATCAAACACAACTGAACCAGATAATTAAGATCTTCAGGAGCGCTTGATAATTACAGACTGAACTCTGCAGGTAGATAGATCTCCAGGAACAGGATTGGGCACCAATGACCCTATAATATAGGTTATGTACAGGGTTTGAAATTACCCTTTTTCAGTCACCGGCCAATTTGGCTACTTACCGGCCATTCAGAACTTCTACTTGCCAAAAAAAAAAGAAGAAATGAACCAGATTAACTACATCACAGCTTATAAATTATATATATATTTTCTAAACTATAGCGAAGAAACTGTGAGAAATGTTGATGGTATCTGAATAAATTTTGGTTTGACTGACTGTATATACAGTCAAAACTAATTTTATTCAAACACACACCTTCAACATTTCTCACATTATCACAGTTTATTCGCTATAGTTTAGAAAATGGTGGTAAAATATGAGCAGAACTCAGAGTTATCAGACCAGTGGATATTTCAGTGGTTTTGTCCGTCCTTCTGTTAGACTCTCACAGATGAATTATGTTGAATATCTGTCAGCTGTTAAATTTAACTACACAATTAGATAATACCAGTTTAGCTCAACCGATTACCAAGCAATGCTTCATGTTGTTCAGTCTGTGTGTAAAAAGAGCATTCGCAATTAAAGAAAAAACACTTCAGCAAAACACGATCAGCTCAAAGTGTCGGAATAATTATTGCTCCCAAATTTGTATAAATGTTACTGGTAGTCACTGTATGAACAGTTTCTGGGTATAATATGTCACAGTTTACTTTATGTTGCTCTCCTCACTTACATAAATGAAAAAAAAAAATCAAAAATTATATCTGGTGTCTGAATAATTTTTGGTTTGACTGTAGGTTATATAATCTAAGTTATATTTAATACATAACATGGCAACATAATTCACACTTGCATGTGTTAAGGTGAAACTGGATAAGGCTGTCATTGTCACTTGTGTTTTACCCCAAGAATAGCTGAGACCACACTGGCAATCACATGATTTTTTGATTATGTTTTCAGCACTGGCTTGTCATCCATGCAGGCCAGTAAATAATGCATTGCTCTATGAAACCGAAACCGAAGCACATTTGGTATCCAAAATCATCAAATGTCATAAAAGTGCTTACATATCGCAACACAACCTCATAAAGCAAATCTTAGTATGTTTTCTTCTATAAGCCAGTAATGTTCTCTGCTGATGTCGCCCCAGAGCACTGGATCTGTAATGCGATCTCCTGCCTGAATAAGAGTAACTCATAGGTGTCTCCTTACTAGGGGGAATGATAGTTGCTCAGGTGATGTCACACTAAATTCCTGCATAACCGCGGGCCTGATCAACACAGAAGCTGATTTCTGAATTAATGTCACCGCATGCCATAACTTGACCGCTAGAAACGACATATTATTCACTATTCATTCCAGAAAATTAATTTTTTAAGCACACAATTATTCAAATCTGGCTTGAAATATCTACAAACACAGAGTGCAACTGTATAAAAAGATCACTTTGCATTATGACTCAATACAATCGGATGCATTATGATATGATAATTGGATTGCTTGAAACTAAACTCAGATTGAAACTTTGTTTTGCTTTACTTTGGTTTATATTTGGGCAGTAAAACGACTTAAAAAATGCTGGTTTTAGAGTTTGAGTTGTTTTATTTTTTTCTTCCTTAACTGAGTTTTTGAAACTTATATGAATGAAGCACACAAATGAATGTTGAATGTATTATTTTAACAAGCATCAATGCATTATAGTGAAAACTCAAATCATGATAAAATAATATATGATTTGTGGAGCGCTAATTTTCCCAATACAGTTAAACTGCATCTCTCTACAACTAGCGCTGGCTGAGCCTAATTAATATTGAATGTGTGACAGGTGAAGCCTTGCAGTGATGCATTATGGATGAGAAAAGCTGCAAGGTTTTCACAGTTAGCAAAGGGAGCTGTGCGCTGTACTGGGTCAAGCCAGAATTCGGATTATGACCCGCTAACCTGCTTGACCTTGATTTTTTGCACGCCAATACTTCTATCACTTATTTTATCACATGCATGTGTTGTCCTATAAAATAAGAGATCCTTATCCGAAACAATCAGACATGTACTCTTATGTGAGTTATGAACTGTCATTTTTACCCCACTAACACTGTCAGATAATACGATGTATGACAGTCAGAACATTATGAACGTACTGGAACAGGACTATTATATAATCTCCTAACAAATGACTGCTATATGATCCCCGCCACCCATAAATGTCTATTTGTACTGTCATTAGTATTTTTTGCGTAATTTTACTGTCCCTATTTCTTAGCAACTTCTAATAGCATGAATGTTTATGAGTCGCACAGTGTTCTCATGTGCTGTAATGCACTAACGCCCTCTCGAAAACCTTTTTTTCTGGGCATTATCGTGGGAATTCATGCTTCATGCTTTGACTTAATCACTACAGAGAAGAAACACCCGAATGAAGGGATTAATCACTGAAGCCCTATGTGTACATGGGCATAAGTTGGCTCTAATGCAGAAATGTGACGCTTGCTTTGCTTTATGTGGAGATCACAGTGGCTTTCAACGCTCAAAGAGTCCGATTATCCATTCAGGACTGGGAGAACATCTGACAATTAAGAGCTTTTATAAAGGGCCACTAGCAAACCAGGTCAGCTCTAATGAAAGCTTTTGTGTGCTTCGCTTTTATCTGCGGCATTAACAGAGTGGCCTTCGATCAAATCATGTAGAATTGTTAATGCATCCTTAGTGGTGAAACAACTCAAATGACACAAATAAGGGCCACAAAGAAGTGGCAAGGGCAGTATATCCGTCTTAAGGTGCATTCAAGGTATACATTTTTAATCAGCCCATACATTAATAGGGAATCGAACCTATGACCTTGGTGTTGCTAATGGCATGCTCTCCAGTCGAGCTACAGGAACTCAAAAACATGAAAGAAAAACAGTAATAAATAGGCCTATCACTACAAAAACAGATCACTAGACCTACAGGAAATAAATAAAAAACATAAAAAACCGCAAAAAATACCAGTACAAAAAACGATCACTAGAACAACAGGAACTCAAAAAAAAAAACAGAAAAAATGGCAAAAAAAAAAATACCAGTACAAAAAAACACTAAATACCACTATCTGACCTTTTAAAAATGGCTTTTGTTGATGTAATTAAATGTAGAGATTCAGTTTTACATGATGTTTTAGACTTGAATAAAACCACTTAGTTTATATAACCAGAAGTACGTTTTCGGGTAACTGGTAACACTTTACAATACGGTTCATTAGTTAACATGAGTTAATGTATTAACTAACATGAACTAACCATAACCAATACATTTGTTAAAGTATTTATTATTCTCTTTTTTAACATCAGTTAATAAAAAATACAGCTGTTCATTGTTTGTTCACAGTGCATCAACTAGCCTAATGCTAACAAGATTTTAATAAAGTATTAGTAAATGTTGAAATGAACAAAGATTAAAAAATGCTGTATAAGTGCAGTTAATTATTACTAATGCAGTTAACAAATAAACCTTATTGTAAAGTGTTTCCGGGTAATTTATAAAACGTTGTACTACAGTGAATAAACCTAACCATTTATGGTGTCACTGTCATGTTAATATGACCTCAGTAATGGCCTCTGTAAACTGAAATGTTCTATAAAACTACCATAAACATCACAAGTACAGATTTAAGGAAGTAGATTGGAGATCTGAGAACTGCACACCCAATTAACTCAATGAAATCATCAAGCGTTGTGCAGATTCATCCGGTTGTGTTGATAATATTATCGTGGCCAATAATGCCCGCGCGCAAACATGCGGGTAACAGACTTCAGCTAAAGTTACGAGCAAACCCAGCTCGTACATGTATATGCGACTGTAAACGCGGGGCATTACCCTCTCGCGACGATCATCCGCAGCGCGTCGAGGTTGCCGTGGTACGCGGCCCAAAGCGTGGGCGTCATGCCATCCTCGTCCGGCGCGTTCAGGTCCTTGCGCGTCGCTTCCTTCAGCAGGTCGAGGTAGCCATCCCGAGCTGCCTTGTGGTATTTGTCATTCATGGTGATCTCGAACCTCAGCCTCCATCACTCTTCCACTCTTCCACTCCTCCACGCGCGCGTTGTGCTTCAGGACTGAACCCGTGTTGCGCGCTCGAGAGACGCGCGGAGTTTCCAAGGACACGTCGGACGCGCGCGCTGCTCGCGAGGGTGTGGCTTCGGATCAGTCCTCACAAAACATGCAATCTTTTCCCCATTATCTGACGAGAGAAAGACTTTCGGTAACACTTTATTTTGATGGTCCCTTAGTTTAGAACATTCTGTTGAGTATAAGTAACTTTGCATTTACATGTCAATTAACTCTCATTAGAGTATTAGTAGACTCTCTGCTTAATATGCTAACTCTGTATTGTGATGATCCTCCATCAGACATTATATTGACTATAAGAAACTTTGCAAGTACATGTCTTAACTTATTCTAACCCTAACCCTACCAGTCTACTAATACTCTACTAATACTCTAATGAGAGTTAGTAGACATGAAGGTGCAATGTTATTTATAGTCAACAGAATGTGTTAAAGACCATCAAACTAAAGTTAAACCAGACTTTCTTGCCCTGCTCCCAAACAAGCACACATGTTAATAAGCCGCATTAAGCAAAACTATTATGTTGTTTAATAAGATTATTAGTACAATTAAAGTGGCCCATAAAACGTAAGAAAGTGCAAACGATGCATCAAACCACGTGATATCTGCACAAATATGCTAGTTGTATCATGTTTTATCTGTGCCATTTTTTGCAATGACTAGTTTTAGTGATTTTTAGTGGACACATATTCATCACAATGTCATATTTTTGCTGCTGGCTTCGGCTCCGTCCTCGCAAAAGCAATCTTTCCACATTTCGGGATTCAAAATAAAATGTTATCTGATGAAAGAAAGACTTTCTGCTCTCAAAACATACACACATATTCATAAACAGCCTTGAGCAAAACTATTATGTTAAGTCAAGTCACCTTTATTTATACAGCGCTTTTTACACTACAGATTGTTTCAAAGCAGCTTTACAGTGATAACAGGAAAATATAATGCAACAAAGTTTGTTTCCAGCAGAAAATAGCATCACAGTCCAGCAAGTTAAAAACTGCCTTTTCTCTTCCGAGCCATTTTTGCTCATCATAATAATATCATAAAGTTCATCAAGAATATCCTAAACATGATCCACTAATGTTTGACAATCACATCAAGTTTAAATGCTTAATCAATTATATATTTAAATATATATACAGTATATATATATATATATATATATATAAACCCACTTTCAGGACACACAAACAAACAATTTTGCACACACAAAAAAAGGTTTGAAATATATATGTATTGTATATTTCAAACCTTTTTTGTGTTTAAAGTGGGTGCATGCTCTTGAATGATGAAAATATTGTTTTCATATCTTTATTTGTAGCTTTAAATATTCATGAATATTTATGTTTTAACATGAAATACTGATGCACATTAAATTAGACATGTCATTTTCTTCATATTAATGTTGTTACAGTTCAAATGTAAGGAATTATTATTATATAACCTCTGTGAGTTACTACCAGGCATTGACACCTGCATTAATAATTGCGTAATGTTATTTATGGGGGTTATGGCGTTTATTTCACGATGTCCCATTACTGTGGCATTATCATACACAGCTCCACTGATGTTTGAAGATTTATTATTTAATTGCACAGTGTATCCTAGATGTTAATTTTTTGTCTAATAATTCGTGCACTGTTTGTTGTGTCTGACAGGTTGCAGGTCCTTCAGTGTTACTACAGTAAATCATTGTGTCGGCAAGTGCGTATAAATGCAATGAAGTGGCACGCTCCTCAGAAGGCCAGCGGTTTCTACTCGTGGTAAGTGGAGGACACTAACAGTAATAACTTGTGTTATGTAAATGCTTTTTTTTAAATGCATCTGCTAATTGAATAAATGTGCCAAATAATCTTTAGCTTTTGCACTGTAAAAAAAAGTACAATCAACTTGAATGTTTAAGTCATTTCAACTTAAATTACATTAATCTGACTTAAAGAAATTGAGCTGAATCTTGTATTGTTTACAAAAGTTGAAAATTGCAAACTTCTTTTGATGAGTTAAAGCAATGTAAAAACGGTAACACTTTACAATAATGTTCATTAATGTATTAACTAACATGAACTAATAATGAGCAAAAAGCATTTGTTACAGACAGTATTTAGTAAGCTTTGTTAATGTTAGTTAATAAAAATACAGCTGTTCATTGTTTGTTCACACAGCATTAAATAATGTTTTACATATACAACCTTTGAGTTTAATAATGTATTAGTAAATGTTGAAATTAACATTAACTAAGATTAATAAATGCTGTAGAAGTATAGGTTATTCATCATTCTTAGTATATGTTAAGTTAACTAATGAACCTTATTGTAAAGTGTTACTGTAATCTCCTATTATCACTGTAAAGCTGCTTTGAAACCATCTAAATTGTTAAAAGCGCTATATAAATGAAGGTGACTTGACCGCAAAAACATATAATAAACAAACAAACATTACGTAAGTTGTTTTTTGTGTAAGGTGGAGTTTGAGGAGATTCCCCCTTCTATGTAAAGCGCTTTGAGTGCCGAGAAAAGCGCTACATAAATGTAAAGAATTATTATTATTATATGTTTTCATAACTTATTGCTCATATCATTTTTTTACACCATGTTTACTCTTGAAATGCTTATGGATCTACTAAAATTGTTACAAGTCACTTAGAATAAAAGTGCCTGTTAAAAGATTAAATGTGAATATATAAATACCAACTACTCAATAATAAAGCTGCTTTAAATATTGCTGCATGGTGTTAACAATAATAATCACCATTAATGCATAGCGCTCATAGGTCACAAAAGAAACAATGGCACAATTAATCTTAAATTGTACAACCGCACTCAAACATTTACAATGAAACTGGGTGAGGCTCAATAGCGCACGGATCCCGAAAAGCCGAGTAAATAAAGGCTTAATATTTTGAAAACAGATATGGCTGAGGTAAATGAAAGCGTAATATTTGTTGATGACTCAGAGCTGAGGGTGTCTGATCAGAACTTCACGTTTCCTCCGTCACCAAACACACCGAGAGAGTGGAGGTGGTACAGGTAGTGCTCTTGTTAAACACTGTTATCACAATAGCTGAGGGCCATTGGTTGGCCCTGGTCCAGTTCAAGTAAAGGTGAAATCCTTCTAGATTTCCAATACTGTCAGGTCAGATTTGAGGATGCAGGACTCCTTCCGATGAGGGACCGACGCAGGACTAGACGTAAGCGGAAGAGAGGGGAGGAGATTGGTTAGATGCGGGTTCAAGTATATATACAGTACAGCTTGAGGAAGCTAGACTCCTTCTAATGCAGAAGACTCTTTGCAACTCGGACTCAATTGCAACTTTACTTGTGTTTTCTTGTGGACAGCTCTTCTAACTCAATCAACATGACGACCAAGGAAGACCTTGAAGCCATCGAGAACCAGATATCCACCATCCAAGTTAGTATGATTTTTTATTTTTACGGTAAAATACTGTAAAAATGCTACGGTGGAAAAACTGTAAATTGGTTAACAGAAAGTTTCTGCACTAGATACGGTGAATAACTGCGATAGATCTAACTGTACATTTACAATTTTACGGTAAAATATCGTTAAATTTACCGTTTTTGGAAGTGAAAAAGAAAAAGTCATTGTACGATTTACAGTAAAAAAAAAACGTAAATTGACATTCTCACTATTCCCTGCGCGACACTTCACATTTTGATGTATTTTTGTTGAAATAACTGTTTTTTCATAGTTTTTTCTAATCAGTTATGGACATTAGGGTTTTATGTTACATTAAATGTTGTTAAATTAATGTTTATTCCATGATGGTGTGTGCGTGTGATTTGATTGATTACGTGATCTCCGCTGTGATTGGTGGTTGTCAGTGTATCACAATGGTACAAAACAGATATTAGTACTTCAATAGATCGATAAATTAACATTATATCAGATAATGAAATACGTTTTTTACTGTAAATTCAAGTTGAGTCTGTAAAACCTAAAATATTGCTAAATTTTACGGTAAATTTCTGGCAGTCGTTTTTTTTTTTTACCGTAAATTTAACAGATTTTTTTTTGACAGTGTTCCCATGGTGAGATGGCCGGCCCGGTTCTTGCCCATGGCAGGTTAAAAACAGTAGAGAAGGGGCGAAACTGGGGATGGCTTCTGTCGGGGTTCATCTCCCTAAATATCCTTCTCCTGGGAATCGCCATCGTGAGCGGGAGTGTCTTCAACAAGATCCAGATCTCTTCTTCTCATCTTCTGATTTTCCTCATCTTACTCGTCATCCTCACCACCGTTTGGATGGTTTACTACAAAGTCCACACTTCTCGGGTGTATCGAGCAGTGCTGTATATAGACAGTCATGCTGGACCAGTTTGGCTGAGAGGTAAGACTTAATTAGTACGATCAAATCCGGTTCTGACAAATGGCGTTGAATGGAATCAAATTCAATTCAATCAAAGATTTCAGAAAGAACATCTGGGTTGTTTTCAGATCTACAGTCAAACCACAGTTTATTCAAACGACTTCAACATTTCTCACATTATCACAGTTTATTCGCTATAGTTGGTATAGCATAAATGGTAATGAAATATGAGCAGAACTCAGAGTTATCAGATCAGTGGATATTTCAGTGGTTTTGTCCGTCCTTCTGTTAGACTCTCACAGATGAATTATGTTGAGTATCTCTCAGCTGTTTAATTTAACTACACAAATAGATAATACCAGTTTAGCTCAACCGATTACCAAGCAATGCTTAATGTTGTTCAGTCTGTTTGTAAAAGGAGCATTAGCAATTAAAGAAAAAACACTTCAGCAAAACATGCTCAGGTCAAAGTGTCGGAATAATTATTGCTCCCAAATTTGTGAAAAATGTTACTGGTAGTCACTGTATGAAGAAGTTTTGGGTATAATATGTCACAGTTTACTTTATTTTGCTCTCCTCACTTACATAAATGAACTTGTCCTGCACCCAAATATCAAAAATGATATCCGGTATCTGAATAATGTTTGGTTTACACTATATACTCAAGAGCTTATATTGTGCTTGTGTCTTCATCAGCTGGACTGGTTCTGTTTGGCGTCTGCAGTGTCATCATGGATATTTTCAAGATCATTTATTACGTGGGTCGAATCCACTGCGATTCCCCGGTGAAAGTCGTGTTCCCTGCTGTGCAAGCTCTGTTTGTCATCGTCCAGGTGTGAAGAACTTTTCCTGCTCTTTTAGGTTATTCGTTCTTGTGTTTATAGATCATTTAAATAATACTCTCTTCCATATTCCAGACATACGTCCTCTGGGTCCACGCAAAAGACTGCGTACAGATACAGCAAAACATCACACGGTGAGCCCTCGCACTGGAAAAAAAATAACTTGTAGGATTTACTTGATAAAATCCTCGTAACAATTTGCACTAACACATTTATAAACATATTTTTTTCTGTATAACCTATCATTATCAAGTAAAACATGCTTACTATTGAACTTAGCATTCATTTGACATGTAATTGAAGTTAATATAACTTAATTATATTTAATTTCACTTATAGAATTAAGTAGCGTCTACTTAACTAAGTTAAGTAAATTGAACAAAATTAACTTTTTACTCAAACAATATAACACTGAATTAAACTACACTTTTAAAGTGTATGCTTTTATAATACAATAGATATTGTATAACTTTCATACTGTATCTACATAATAGAAGTAACATGGCACCCGAACACAGAGACCTCAATACTTGGTACACGATTGTTTTTGAGTTTTTTTTTGCCCCAGTGCATGATGGGAACACCAGTATTACAAAAAGTTGAGTAGGTTTAACTTAATTTTATACCGTTGATATTTAACGTTTTAATTTCTACAAGCTTGAATTGAGTACTTATATAGATTACTCAATTAGATTAGATTTATCTTAGATTTAACTTTTTCATGTAGAAATTACATTCGTTTTTTTCCCCTGTAGCATTTACTTCACCACAGAATCCTTTTTATCAGTGTGGTTTCAAGATAAAGTTTGGGTTTGTTTACAGGTTTAGTCATTTTATTTCCTTGTCTTCTGCCATCTTGACCTCCTCATGTAGTCAGGAAGGGAAATTAATGGGGAATTCTGAGAAATGATCACACCCTGACGGAAACGATCTGTTTGTAACCCACACTTCAAGCCCATTGACTGTAGAGTTGTGTGAAGCAATGAGCACACATTTTTTTAAGTTAGCTCAAGGAAATGTTTGGTTTTGATAGGAAACCTATACTCTTGTATGCCTCTTTGGAACAGAGACGCTAGTGTTACTGTATAGTAATATTTACTCTCTCTCTATTGTTATAGATTTGGCTTGATGTTGACCTTGTCTACGAACCTCATGGTGTGGATGACGGCTGTGACTGAAGAGTCGCTCCATCAAACAGTGGCTCCAATGGACCCTTCGTCCAACGGTTCCTCAAACAACGGCCACAGCTTCAACGTCACCATAGAAGGTGCTTGACATCAGCAAATGCACAGACCTGCGTACTTATGTGGTATTAGTAGAAAGAGCATCCAAAGTACACTGTAAAAAAAAAAAAAAACGGTAAAAAAACGGCTGCCAGAAATGTACCGTAAAAAAAATACGGTAGCAACATTTTAGGTTTTACAGACTTAACTTAAATTTACAGTATTTCATTATCTATATGATGTTAATTTATCGATCTATTAAAGTACTAATATCTGTTTTGTACCATTGTAATACACTGATAACCACCAATCACAGTGGAGATGAGAGTCACATGATCAATCAAAGCTCATCACAAGCAGCGTTGCTGAGAAAGTTAATACTAATATATAGAAGCTGCTCAGTGTCATTCACACAAACACTAAACACCATCATGGAGTAAACATTCATTTAACAAGATTAAATGTAACATAAAACCATAATGTACATAACTGATTAGAAAAAAACTATGAAGAAACATAGTTATTTCAACAAAAATATTTCGAATTGTGCGAATGTCAATTTACGTTTTTTCACTGTAAATCATACAATGACTTGTTCTTTTTCACTTCCAAAAACTGTATTTTACTGTAAAATGTACGGTTAGATCTATCACAGTTATTCATCGTATATCTTACAGAAACCAATTAACAGTTTTTCACCGCAGCATTTTTACCGTTAAAATCACCGTTAAAACAGTTTTTACCGTTAAAATCGTCTTTTACCGTTAAAATCACAATCATTTCAGTTTGTCATTGGTTTGCACTGAGGCTTCAAAGCAAATTCTCAATCAAACCTCATTCGTTGCCCAGACAGCATCATAGTGTCGGCCCAGATGCGGCCCGGATCTGGGCCGACTGTCTGGTTGATGTGTTTAATTTGGCTATGCGTAGAGCATCTTTTTGACGTTTCTCTGTCCTCTTGCTTTTCCAGGCCGCGCTGAAGACAGCGAATGCAAGTGTATCCATGACATGTGTGATGTTTTCGAGAAGACCTTTTACTACCTGTACCCCTTCAACATCGAGTACAGCCTCTTCGCCTCCGCCTTGGCCTACGTCATGTGGAAGAACGTGGGCCGCAACATGGATGAACACCACAGTCACAAGCTGCGCTTCAGCCCGTGGGACGTCCTAGTCGGGCCGGTGGCGGGTCTGATCATCCTAGTGGCGGGTCTGGCGACATTCGTGGTTTACGAGGTGGACGTGGCCAAAGGAGACCCGAAAAAGACGGAGGGAGCGCTAATAATGCATTATATAATGAACATAGTCGCCATCATTCTCATGTCCATCACGTGTCTGATCGGTTGTGTGATTTTCCGCATGGATAAGAGGGAGCAAGTGTCCGGGAAGAACCCAACGAGGAGTCTGGATGTCGGGCTTCTTGTGGGAGCGTCTTTAGGACAGTTCCTCATCTGTTACTTCATTATCGTCGCGGTTCTGGCGTCAGGGGTCATGGGGAGCACGAACAGGCTCAACCTGGTCTGCGCTGTCCTGACCGTGATCCAGTTGTGTCTCCAGAACGCCTTCATCATCAAGGGCCTCCACCGGGAGCCGTTCATCGAGACGGAGACGAGCACCGTCTTCGCAAACATCATGGCCGTGAGAGAGAGAGACCCGGAGAGGAGGAGCAGCTCGATCGTCCCGGCTCACACGCTACCCATCCCGCTGGGGATCCTTCAGGGTCGCCTCTGCTGGAAGAGGAGGATGCTTAAGGAGATCTGCGCTTTCCTGTTGTTCTGCAACGTCATTGTGAGTGTCCGACCCTTGATGCTTTTTATTGAGTTATGGGGGGGGTACACATGTTTATTCTTTAAAGTCCCACTAAAGTGCCTTGAAACGCGCAGCGTAACGTAATGTGCGTTGATGTAACTTCCACTGAAACAGGAAGCTAAGGCGGGACATATTGAGTTGCTCCGCCCCCTTTTCAAACAACCAATAGGGTTTAGTTTACCTCACAGACTGTCATTTGTAAGTATCTGACCCTTGATACTTTTTAGTGAGTTAAGGTGCTTGCACAACGAGTCCGAAATTTTCGCACGTTTAAAAATAAATACGACCTTAATCGCGTGACCTTCGAAACTTCCGTCCGTCTTAAAAAAATCCGGGTCGGGTTCGATTATCTGTGTTTTTCGCATCCGTAGCAAGCGTTTTGAGAGGCGTTTTGACAATTCAGAGCCACTAAATGACGAATACAAAAAAAAAGTCCTATTACATTATTATTTTTTTGTTACACAAAGCTTAAAATTAGGCCGTTTACAGCTGGTATTAAGATGCGTTTTGATCAATCGGATCACAAGTGGACGACGCTAAATACAGGTGTTTGTATTTGAGCTTGTCCACTTTCAAGTGTTTGAGAGTGGACAAAAGAGACGGATTAAAACACCAGGTGTGAACGGGAATGTTTCCCTCGTCCACTTGTGATCCGATCGACCAAAACGCATCTTAACACCAGGTGTAGACAGAGCCTAAAAACTCAAAACAACACATTTTAGGGAGGCGGAGAAATCACCTCGATCATTTTAACGATGGTTCCACTCTCTATTTTTGCCTTTATTTCGACAAGCCTGCATTAAAATTCAGAGTTTTGTTCGTTTCTGAAAGCGTTTTTCTAAGACGTTTGTGTCTTTAAAACACCAGTTTTATATTGTAATCCTGTACGCTGCATGTGTGTTTTGTAGCTCTGGATCATGCCTGCCTTCGGAGCCCGGCCTCAGTTCGACAACACCGTCGGGTCGGACGTGTACGAGTTTCAGACGTGGGCGGTTGCGGTGAACATCGGGATGCCGTTCGGGATCTTCTACCGGCTGCACTCAGTGGCCAGTCTGTTCGAGGTGTGCATCACCTCATAAACCCACTGACCACTCATGAACTGTACGCGCTTATGCACATTGTAATTTATATATATTTTTAATAGTGTATTTTTGTTTGGTTGAATGTCACATTTTGTACTACATTTTTATTGGATAACACAACGATGTGTATGTGTATGTGTATGTGAGTGTGTGTGTGTGTGTGGAGATCTAGACCATGTTGAACTGAAATCCTTTTTTAATATGTGAATAAATATTTTCTGAAATATGGCCCCTGTTACAGGTGTTGGCAATGCAGTGAAATCCTCGGGAAATAATCCCAGAGATCTTGCCCTCTCATTCCCAGTTTCTGTTTATTCTGGTCACTATGTACCCAGATTAAAATGAGCACACATATTGCTGTACTCCCCCTGTTTTACTTATGCTCTTCTTCATTGTGAATAAATGAAGTCTGAACACAAAAACGTCACACAGTGAGAAGCGTGGGGTTTTTTTGTACTCTATATCCTCTCAATATATATTGGGACAAATTTTGCACAAATACACAAAGATTAAAACACAAGTACAAATGCAAAGTCTTGATCTGCTCCACAAGCTCTCTTATAAATACTGCCACAAATCAAGAGAAACATTCGGTTTACAGTTATCGGCACTTTAAACAATATGATGAACATATGCAGAAATTCACACACCACAAGCTAATCTTTCTATTTGATTGTTTATCATATTTGTCATATATGTAGCCAGTAGTTCCACTTCAAACATCAAGCGATATTTACACGATCTCATTAGCAAAACTGATATGCAGACAAAAATAGAGATATTGATATACCATCAAACAACTGCTATAATACTTTGGAAACAACATTTTTTTTGTACGTTTTCATGATATATATGAATACTTGTGGAATCATCTAAACTAGCGTTTGATTTTCCTCCAGTTATTCGTCATTCCTGTCTAGACTAGTGAAAATTTGGAGTAATGTATATGTTCCAACAAGTAACAAAAAAGGAGGATTCAGCAATATCGCCCTCTTGTGGTGATATTAATACAATCCAAAGGTCTTTGTCAATGCTTGATAACTTCTAAAAGCTTCCTAGAAATTATTCACAAGTTTATTTTTTCTATACTATAAATAGCATTCCTTCTTATAATAAGCACTTTATTCCTATAAAAACCACAGTGAGAGAGAGTTTCACATGTCTGGGCTGCTGCTGCTGCACACAGTATGCTTGTATTATGGGAGCGTATGGTTTATATATAGACGCGTTATCATCTGAACCGCAGCCAGAGCTGGCGGGTGGACTGGCACCTTCAGTGGAGTCTCGCAGGCGAGAGCGAGTCGCCTCTTCTCTGGGGAACGGGTTAAAGCAGAAGGACAAGGCCGGATGAGGTCTGCGGGCTCTCAGTGTGACGGGTCATCTCTACATCCTCTGGATCTCAAAGAGACGCACGTCGGTGTCGTACCAGATCGGAGGATCCACATTCCTGCAGTGAGAGGAGAAACCACGTCAAACTCACCGCTGTGTTACAGTTACTCGGCTAAAAACAACTGATTCAACCGGACGTGTTCTTACAGAAAGAAATGGACCCTCTAAAAATAAAGTAAAATAAAAATGATTTTTATTTTTTATTAAAACATATATATATATATATATATATATAGATATATATATATATATTAAAAATAAATAAATAAAAATTAAATTAAATAAAAATTAAATATATTTTTTTAATAAAATTAAAATTAAATTAAATCAAAAATAAAATGTAATAATAAATAAATATTACATATATTATGCAATGCAATATGTAATCTGCCCTGACCAAACCAAAACTGAATGGACCCTCTAATAAAATAAAATAAAATAAAAAATGTAATAAAATAAAATAAAAATAAAATATATTTTTTAATTTAAAATTAAATTAAAAATAAAATGTAATAATTAATAATAAATAAATACTACATATATTATGCAATGTATTATGTAATCTGCCCTGAGCAAACCAAAACGAAATGGACCCTCTAATAAAATAAAATGTAATAAAATAAAAAATGTAATAAAATAAAATAATAAAATAAAAAATCGTTTTAAATAAAATAAAATTAAAATGAATTTTAAAAAAAAAAATCATACAAAAAAAAAATATATATATATATATATATATATAAAATTAAATTAAATGAAAATTAAATATATTTTTTAATCAAATTAAAATAAAATAAAATGAAATAATTAAATAAAATAAAAAATGTAATAAAATACAAAAATGTAATAAAATAAAATAAAAATAAAATATATTTTTTAAAATAAATTAAAATTAAATTAAAAATAAAATGTAATAATTAATAATAAATAAATAATACATATATTATGCAATGTATTATGTAATCTGCCCTGACCAAACCAAAACAAAATGGACCCTCTAATAAAATAAAATAAAATAAAATAAAAAATGTAATAAAATAAAATAATAAAATTAAAAAATCGTTTTAAATAAAATTGAAATAAAATGAATTTAAAAAAATATATTTAATTAAAAAAATATATATATATATAAAATTAAATTAAATAAAAATTAAATATATTTTTAAATTTTATTAAAATAAATTTTAATTAAAAATGAAATGTTATAATAATAATTAATAATAAATAAATAATACATATATTATGCAATGTATTATGTATTATGTAATCTGACCTGCCCAAACCAAAACTGTGTCAAATACAGTTTTATGCTAAGAGTCAGGCAAGAACATTTTTAAGGCACAATATTTGAATGCTACCGATCCTGATCTGAATTCTGACTTATGAATCATAATCATAATCATACACTCTTCAAATATACAATATTATTTAATAACAGAGAATATTCTGTTTTGAAATAATGTAGAGTGAGATTTGATTTTATCTGTCGGGACTGTATTGGACATGTTGCATTTGATTGGATTGTGGAAAAAAGGACATTCATTCTATTATATTGTTTAATATTATTCTGTTATGCGTTATGAAACCATCTTCAAGTAAGAGGAACTGGATGAATATTTGAATGCTACCGATCCTGATCTGAATTCTGACTTATGAATCACAATCATACACTGTTCGTTCATTGGCCAGAGGAGAACTGAGTGACTTTTCTCTATTCTGTCACCTGACGGAGATCTTATGATCTTGCCACTGTCGCCTCTGGATTGCTAAATATTCATGAGTATTATTGATCTGCCTGCACTGACACTGTTGTAGGAGAACTGAACTGAGCTGGACAAAGACATCACGGTTTCTCCAGAACTGCTTTATGGATGAAATGAACTAATTTAATAATTGATGATCTTCACAGCGGAACTGAATCAACACTGAGCGACGTCAGCAGAACAATGCCACTGTTGTCTTTCAGCCGATGTACAGCGAGATGAACTCTGTTTGCATCATTGAATCATTTCCCTGTCATCACAGTAAAGCTGCTTCACCGTCAGGGTTTGAGATGAACACCCGGCAGATGCGGGAACACTCGACTGGGTTGATGACGGGTAACACTGTCAAATCACCAGCCAATTCGGCATGTTACTTATTATGTTTACTTTGCTGGGGAAGTTCGTGTGAGCAAAATCTGCATTTGTTTGATGTTCTTTCTACTGTATTGATCTGTCCATCCAAAACACACATTGGATGAGGATGAAAGAGGAAGAGAGGAGATGCTGGATGACAGGATTTAGTTTGAATAAGAAATTAATGTATGACATTACATTTTATAATATTATAAGCTGTGACGTAGTTAATCTGGTTTATTCCTTCTTTTCTTAGCTAGTAGAAGTTCTGAACGGCCGGTAACTTAAAAATCCCGTAGCCAAATTGGCCGGTGAGTGAAAAAGTTCATTTCAAACCCTGAGCCGATATATAAATAAAGGTGACTCTCGGCGTGTTTGGTAATGGATGACAGTGTTGACATGTTTGGTCTTGGCGGATAGATCTGTCCTGCAGCTGTACACTGTAGCGCACATGAATTACCCATAGCAGATCTACACAGGTGGAGCTGGGGAGGGAGGAGGGTTTCTGCACTGCTACAGCAGGTTTTGAAGGATGAGCGAGTTCATTGGCTACTGATACAGCAGGAACCAATCAGCTGTGCCCTACAGAGTATCATGACAGAACTTTGTACATTATGAAAATCATTATTTATCCACCTTATTCCTGCGCCCCCACGGATTATGGGTGTAATTCGCATTTTAAGCTGTAAACAATCAGTGAAAGGCTCACTCTATAAACGCAATAATACGTTGTTGTTGTTGTTTTTTTACAGTATAATGAGATTGTTATTCTACTCACCTACTCAACATTAAAAGGACATTTAAAAGTGTAAAAGCATCAACAAGGTATACTTGCCACAAACCATGAATAACCCCAAAAGTAGGGCTGCCCCCGACTAAAAAGATATTCCTAGTCGACTAACACTCCTGCATTTTAGCGATTAGTCGAATAATCGTTCATTTATGACATTAATATAAAAACTTGCGTATATACAAGGAAAGGTATAGTCCAAGTTGAAGTTTAACACTTCCATATGACAGAAAATGCTAAAGCGTGATATTAGCGCGTTCGAAATGAAAATTAAGCGCTTAAAACAGAATAGTAAAGCGTTTAAAGTATACAGCGCTTACGACACGTTATAGGCTAATTATAACATAAAAACAGCAATCAGACTGCCTGTGCATTTTAATAATTTATTATCAAAAATACAAACTCTAACAGTTACATGTAAAAAAAAAAAACAGTTTTGAATAAAATAAACTAAAATTCGTTCTTTAAAATAAATTAAATAAACTTATTAGTAACTTAGGCCTAGTACAAAACAAGGCAAAAAAACAAACAAATAAATACTGTAGCAAAAACGCTGTTTGGTATAAAAATACAGTGGAAAATTAAATTAATATAATTTTTATATTGTTCAAAAGGAAAATTAACAAAAACGAACAATTTAATAAATGCACATGGCACAACGCCAAAACTTAGAATAAAAAAAGAAGGCGGCAAACAAATCAACAGCCTAAGTATTTGATTAAATTGTTTAGAACAACTAGGCTATATTTAAGACAAAATGTGGAACAAATAGGCTAATTTAAAGAACACTAATACAAATCAAAAATATCAGAGCAAAGCCGCAAACCGCCATTAAGACGACGGATGAGTCTTGACCTGACACAACAAATTGCAAACATCAGACTAATTTTTCTTACAGAATAAAAAACAACTTCTGCATTATATAAAAACGAACAAATAAAAATAATATTTATTTATTTGTATAGCCTACCCGTTATAAAAATACCCGGGTTTTTTTTATATAGCCTAACGGATAGCAAACAGAAACACTACAAAAAGGAAATATGAATATGATTTAACTTAACAGCGCAAATGTGTTTATATCCTTATTGTTAAAACGAGGGGCCATGTGGTGGTTAACGTTACTACTTACATGTTTTAAATGATAAGACATATTCGATGTTGACGAGTGATAGGCAAATGTTTGCCTGCAGAGTTTGCAAACAGCCTTTTTAGGGCCGTCCTTCGACTTTTCAAAATGATCCCACACTTTGGACTTTTTTCCTGACATAATTATTAGCCTCAGCCAGACACCTCTCCCACAAGTGCGCTTTGGTATACCGCGAGGCACGAGATCTCGTTGATCTCTCGTTGCTCTGATGTCATGTCATACACTGACTGCGCAGCCCCTGATTGCGTAATTTTTTCACGTGATTTTTTTTTCGCGACTAACCGACTAATGAAAATGTATTTGTCCAAGCCCTGCTCATATCGACTTACATTTAGTCGACTATTTGGGGGCAGCCCTACCCAAAAGCACGATTCTTTTAACAGCCATAACGGACGTGTTAAATATCACTGTAGTAATATGTATATCGGTATTATGTAACATACATTGTCTTAATCAAAAATGTTCATAACTTCAGCATTGCGTGGTACTATTTCAAAGTGATACCCGTCGTTTTGACAGATAATAAATTGTATTTACGTGTGAAAACAAACCTGGAAAGAGACGCAAGGATTTGAGGAGAAAAACGAGAGATTCTTCGTGCATTCCAGTGAATTATTAATGAAATATATAATAAATTAAATTGGGAGAACAGACCACAAATGTGCAGTATATGTTGTCCTTTTTCATACTATTAACCCTCTGGGGTCTGAGGTGTTTTCAGGGTCCTTGAGATGTTTTGGCATGCTCTGACATTTCTGCTTTTTTCAGTTGCTTATAAACATATTAATGGCACAGGTTAAATTACACTGTATATAGCACACACAGGGCTACCATAATATGTGAACAACATGTTAATACATGTTTGTATTCTTGAGAGAATATTGTTTATGCGTGGTTATTGAAAAAACTAAAAACTAAAGTTTCTAATATAAGGCCACAAATAACATACTAAATATCTGTCCACAAGACTTTTGACTAGTGGATTCTGTCGCCTAGAGTTT